ATATATATATATATATATATATATATATAATGTATGTATGTATGTAAAAGATTAGAACTTCGTACTACTTGAACGTGTGGAAATATAAATCTGATCTTAACAGATATTGCCAACTCGTACATTTGTTTGTATAAATCAAAAATTTTGTACCAGGCACGTTGATTTAATTAGCTTAGCAGAAACTAGATAAAATTTACTAAAATATGGTATAAACTGTTTTCAAAACTTTAATATTAAAATTTTGAATAAAACGAGTCGCAATGCAATGTTTATAAATTCAGCCTTTTGGCTACATATGGTTCCAGGATTTTTTACATTTATTTATATAACTTAAAAATTTTGTTCTGGGCACTCTAATTTTATTAACGTAGAAGAAACTAGATAAAATTTATAAAAATATCATATAAACTGTTTTGTATACTTTAATACAAAATTTTTGAATAAACAACGCTCAGCCTTTAGTATTTTTTAACATAACTTGAAAATTTTGTTCTGGGCACTCTAATTTTATTAGCTTAGCAAAAACTAGATAAAATTTACTAAATTTCTATATCAATTACTATATATACTTGGATATTAAAAACTTCAAATAAAATTTGTTGAAACGCGAGTTTGATTATAACTAAAATGCAAAGTAGTCTCAACTTTATTTTGCTATTAAAGAAGGACGGGGACATTTGTTTGTTCCATTTTGCATATAACTTGAAAATTTTGTCTTGGGCACTCTAATTTTTTTAGTTCAGCAAAAACTAGATAAAATTTGAAAAAATACCATATAAACTGTTTTGAACTCTTCAATACTAAAATTTTGAATAAAACGGGTTGAAAAGCTCAGTCATTTGGTCATATAGGATTTCGGGACATTTTTCTACATTTTTTTAACATAACTTGAAAATTTTGTTCTGGGCACTCTAATTTTATTAGTTTATTAGAAACTAGATAAAATTTACTAAATTTCTATATAAATCGTTTTATATACTTTAATACTAAAATTTTGAATAAAACGAATCATAACGCTCAGCCTTTAGTCATATAAGATTTCGGGACATTTTTTTACAATTTTTAACATAGCTAGAAAATTTTGTTCTGAGCACTCTAAATGTATTAGTTTACTAGAAACTAGATAAAATTTACTAAATTTCCATATCACTTTAATATTAAACTAAATAAACTTTAAATAAAATTAGTTGAAACACGAGTTTGATTATAACTAAAATATCAAACAGTCTCGACTAATGTTCCTTTATACTTCTAATATATGAATGGGGACATTTTTTTGCTATTCTTTATATAACTTAAAAATTTTGTTCCTTGCACTCTAATTTTATTAGTTTACCAGAAACCAGATAAAATTTACTAAATTTTCATATCAATTACTATATATACTTGGATACTAAAAACTTAAAATAAAACTAGTTGAAACGCGATTATAACTAAAATGCAAATGAGTCTTAACTTCATTTAGCTATTAAGGAGTATATATGGACGGAGACAATTTTTTATAATTTTGCATATAATTTAAAAATTTTGATTTTGACACTCTAATTACTTTAAAACTGCTAATTACTCTCTAATTACTTTTGATTTTGACACTCTAAACTAGATAAAATTTTCTAAAATACCTTATAAATGATTTTATATACTTTAATATTAAAATTTTGAATAAAACTAGTTGCAACGCCCAGTCTTTTTCCATATATGGTTTCAGGATATTTTTATACATTTTTGCACATAACTTAAAAATTTTGTTCTGCACACTCTTATTTTATTAGTTTAACAGAAACTAGATAAAATTGACTAAAATTTCATAAAAACTTGTATATATACTTTTTATATATTGGTAAATCTATTTGGTAAAATTTTATTTTGAGCACTATGATTTTATTAGCTTAGCAGAAACTAGATAAAATTTCCTTTTATTGTATGTAACATACTTTATATACGCGGATACAAAAATTTTGTTTAAAACAAAATTTTTGTAACTAAAATAGAAAATAGTCTTGATAATTTATTTTATACTAATTCAATATACATAAATATATATAAATATGGCAATTATGGCAGTATATTTTTAATAGCTCTTTTCATACTTATATAAGTTAATTGAAACAAATATATATGCAAACAATATTATATTATGATAGTATAATGATATTCCCAGAATAGGTGTATACAATTTGTATCTTTATGTAAAAATCAATGTATGTATTTAAGTCAAATAAAGCAAATTTTCAAATTAATTTAATATATATAAATATATATCAATAAAATATAATGAATGAAAAATCAAATTATAAATTTTAACCCACATAAATATAATATAATTTTAAAATTTTACATAAAATTTAACATTTTTGGCCAAAACGATGGGTCAAAGCTATAATTTTGAAAAATTTGGGAATTTATTTCACAAACTTTACGTTAGATGGCGACATAATTTTTTTTAGGGCCGGCAAAATGTCCATCAATGCTTTTTCAAACTAGAGAAACATATGCTTTTATTACATACACGATAACAATAATAAATACGTAGATAAAACAATATATATATATATATATATATATATATATATATATTTATAAATGTATAAGTGTGTCCATTTTCTATGTCGTATTTTTCTGTGAGCAGTTTGCATTGTAACATCGCGCATGGTAGACATACATTTTTATTTTCTGAGTGAATTCTTTTGTTTTGTTTTAGTAAAAATAGAAACAAATACAAAACACGAGTTTGAGAATTGTTTAAAAATTTTTTTATCGAAAGTTCGAGGTGTGTTAGTGCTGTGCGAAGTGTTTAGGTCGATTTTGTTGAGTTTGAAATTGGATTAATTAATGGT